GCCGGGCGCCCGTCAGCAATCGGGTGGCCAGACGACGACTTCCAAAAGTCCGAACAGGCAGTGCCATTATCTCCCAAGCGCTTGCGGCGTTGAAACGCTGGCACGGAGCAGATGGTAGGATGGCTCTCGAGTTCCCCTCCTGGGCCGATCGGAATATCTATCCACGCGACGTTTGGCGCGTGCTCAGGCCAGCCCAAAGCTGAAATCACAGCGAGATGGGCTGTCTTTGGGCTCCATTCCCCCCGAGACTTCGACCGCGTTCGTCGCACCTTGATTCGAAACTGCTTGGCAATATTCAAGCAGACGATTAGGGGAGAGCCCCCCCTTGGCCCAATCTCTTCGAGGCTGGAGGGGGGCTCTGCGCGACTGGAACACTCGGCGCGGACTCGCATGCGAAGGCTCCCAGAATGCTTTTTTTCATCGGACCTCGGGATGAAGGACGGTCACAGACTCCGTCGCTTCAAACCTTGGGATGAAGAAAGGTCACAGACTCATCGGTTCAAGCTGCCCTCGCGACCCTCTGACACTGAGAATGCAATCTCACCGCTGGTGGCACTGAATGCGAAACAACATGATACAATCGCCGCAGGTATGATCACGTAGATGCGCATGGCAAAAATCCACGCAACGCACGCAATGCCAAAACGGCCGCGGGCGCCGGGGAGGGGGGGTCGGAGCGGTGGGGGGGGGCTCGGAGCAGGAGTCCACGAGGAATGAACGAGGACCGATTGATTCTTCTTTCCAATACTTTTGTTGCTTGAGGCGTTCTGATACTGAGTTGGGTTCCTCTGATTCTGGCAGGGCAATCTTTTCCGCGGGCAGGTTGGATGCCACTTCCGCGCTGCCTAGCCTTGCCCAGCGCCCCACTTCGTGCGCATAAGGTCTCGCACCCCCGTCTCATTCTCCACCTGGTGTCATTGCTCCGCGACTGGGGCCCCCATCGCTGTTAGCGTCGTTGGATCTGAGTTCGACGGGGCCCCGACACCATAACAGCGCGACGTTTGAAAGCGTTTTGCCGCCCGAATTTGGGCCACCAAGGGCCCGCCCCCTCTAGCCGCGGGCGCACCAGGACAGCTTGCGCGAAGACATCCAGGTTCCCAACACGAAGTGATTCGGGACAACCGTGGCGCGCTTTGGTCCCGGGGCCTCCTCTTCTTCATGCGCGATATCAGCATCGTCGACGTTGCTGTTGTGCTTGGTCGTAGTTTCGTTGTGCGTATCGTTTGTGCTATGTTCCTGTGTGTTGTGCGTTGCGCGTGCGTTGCGTGCGTCGTGTGTTCTGCATTCTTTCATCGCGCCACTGCGCGGCGCCACCCTGCGTCGAGCAAAGGCACGTTTTGGGCCCGAGAGAAACTATCAGGCAGAGGACCTCCCTATCAAGAACTTCCAGAATAAGGCACTCGAGTTCACCTCCTCTTCCACTTTCTGGTGCTGAGACTCCTAGCCCACTCGATGATGTAATCGCAGTTCAAGTTGGCCTCGTCTACCTGTCTGGGTGCTGCCAGGGCCAGTGCGCCATCGAGATCGTCATCGCCCTTCTTCAAGAACATCCTCTCCATGGTCTTGATGGCATTGGTCACATTCGGGATGATTTTGCTCGCATCTACGTTGAAGGACTGCGCGCACTTGTCCGTCTTGGTCTCCTCGTAGATCTCTCTGAGCTTCATCGGGCGCTTCTCCTGGGCACGTATCTCGGCCTTGATGTGCGCCTTGATCTTGTCGAAAATGGCCCTGCGGGGGTTCGGCGGCTCGGCGGGCTTCTCGGCGTCGCACCCCTCCTTCTTCACGTCGACGAGCAGCTGCCCAGACGACACAGAACCCGAGCCAGAACCCAAGTGCGAAGACATCTCCTGCATGAAAGCGCCAGCCTCCTGCGCTGCAGTCGCGTCCAGGTCGTCCTTGGAGTTCTCGACTCGAACTTCTAACCCCTGAAGACTGTTCCTCGTTGCTTCCGCCGTCGGCGCGCACCGTGCGCTCGATCGACCACTCGCCCTCCTTGCCCGCGTCGGGGTCAGGCCGCGTCAACAGCTTGCCACTGCCGCTGTTACTCTAAACTTTTGGCTCTCCTAGCACCTGCTGCATCTGGAATCCCCCCATCCACTGAAGCAGGTGCGCGTCCTTGTCGAGGAAGTCGCGCTCCTTCGTGCTGGTCTTTGCGGTGCGAGCAAGAGCGCGGGGACCCCTTAGACAGGGACACTGCCGCCCCTGCCAACCACGGGGGGGCATGACTGGACAAGGAGAGGGGTGGAAGAGAAAGAAGGAGGACGACGAGGAGAAGGAGGAGGAAGGAGGGGAGGAGGACAAGGAGGGGGCAGGACAGGGAGGAGAAGGAGGAGGAGGAGAGGAGAGGCGGGAGGAGGAGAAGGAGGACGAGGAGAGGGGAGAGGAGGAGGAGGACGAGGAGGAGGAGGACGAGGAGGAGTACGAGGAGGAGGACGAGAAGGAGGGAGGACAAAAAGGGTGGGGGAGGAGGAGGAGGAGGAGGAGGAGGAGGAGGAGGAGGAGGAGGAGGAGGAGGAGGACGCGCAGTTCGGAATCGCCATCCGGACGAGGCTGCACCTGGACTTGCCCCTCTGCGCAGATTTCTGCCAGCACCGCCACCCAGACGGCAGAGTGTGCGGGGCGGTCTTGGATCCAAAAGGGGTTCACGCTCGCGGGTGCGCCATTGGTGGCTGGCGCGTGCGCCGGCACGACGCTGGGTGCGCAGCCCTGGCCGAGTGGTGCGAGGAACAGGGGTGCACCGTTCACAGAGAAGCACTGGTGCCCCACGCGGCGCCCGCGAATCCAGAAGCCCGCATGGACTTGGTCGTCCACGCGCCTGGGGTGGCGGCGCCGATCCTGGTCGACCTCACAGTGGTCAGCGCCCTGACCCAGGACGCCCTCGGCCTCGGCGCGCCGCGCCGCGAGGGCGCTGCCGCGGCGGCCGCGGAGCGCCGCAAGAGAGCGCGCTATCCAGGAGCGCCGGTGGTCCCGTTCGTCATCGAGGACCACGGCCGCCTACGAGGGGACGCGGCGGCGCTGCTTCGCCGGCTGGCCCCCGGCGGACGCGACGGAGCGCTCGGCAGCGATCCGCCGCCTGCACCAAGCCCTGGGGAGCGTTCTCCAGCGCCACGCGGCCGATGCCGTGCTGGCGGCCACCCAGCACCGGCCCTGGCAGGCCAGGCCCGGGCGAGCGGCCGGAGGAGGAGGAGGCTGAGCAGCCAACCCGGGGCGAGGAGCGCGGACAGGCGAGGCAAGGAGGGGCGCGGACGCTAGGGGCTAGGGGCGGCGGAGCGGCGAGGAGGGGCGGGGAGCGGCGCAGGGGCGGCGGAGGAGGAAGAGGAGGCGGAGGCGGAGGCGGCAGAAGCGGAAAACGCCGCTCGGAGCCGCTGGCCAGGGCGGAGAGGAGGCGGCGGCTTGGGCGGCGGCGCCGGCGGCGGCCGGAGGCGGACGCAGGGGCGGCGGCGGCGGCGGCGGCGGCGGCGGGCACGGGCGGAGGGGGGCGGCTTCGGCGGTGGCGGGCGGAAGCGGAGGGAGGAGGCGGCGGCAGGGGCGGAGGAGGCGGCGGCGGCGTCGGCTGCGCCGCCGCCGCCAGCCAGGCTCCCCCCCCGCCGGGGCCGCCAGCCGCCGCTGCCCCCCGGCCGCCGCGCGTAGCGCGCGGGGCCGGGCGCGCCGCGCGCGCGGGGTGCGCGCGGCGCGGCCGTCCCGGCCGCCCCGGGGTCCCCTTCGGACTCGGGGGCCCCGGGGCCGTGGAGCACAGAGGAGGAGGAAGAGGATAAGGAGGAGGAAGAGTAGGAGGAGGAGGAGGAGGAAGAAGAAGAGGAGGAGGAGGAGCTGCCCCTATCTATATATATATATATATAGAGAGAGAGAGAGAGAGAGAGAGAGAGACAAACAAAAGAAAAACGTGTCAGTGCATCTCTTGGCGCAGGTGATTCAGAGTCCCGCCGGCGGTGCGTGCGCCTGCAGCCCGAGCAGCAGGAGGAGCTCCTCCAGGTGCCACTCCTGCAACAGGGCTGGACCTGAACGTTGTTTTTCATGTTGTTTTCGTTTTGCTTTCGTTTTGCTCCATATGTTTTCCTGCACCACCCTGCCAAAACGAAGAACAAACAAAGCCGAAGTCCAGCAAAACAGCGTTTAGGTCCAGCCCTGTCCTGCAAGCCCCCGTCCTCGGGCGCGGCGTAGACCTGCGAACAGTCAAAAGCTGTGTTGCTGCCAGAAGTAGACCAAGATCTCCCAATGAGCAGGCAGCAGCTGGCCCCAGTGCCGGAGACGCAGACAGGCGACATCTGGCCGAAAAGCTGTCCCCAGAGAATTTCCAAGAAGGCCCACGCGGCCTTCAGAGCACCCCTCGCGAGGCCCAGAGGGCCCCAGGGCCCCCGGAGTGGAGCGAAAAGTTGGGGGGCACTTGAACAGGGACATGTCTAGCAGCCCCCGACTCGCCGCCGCTCGGACGTCCGTTGCCCGTGCATTTTTCGGCATCGTGCGCCAACATGCTCCTCGACGGTCCTCGCCGAGAAAGGAGTTCACGCGTCCGAGCGATGCCAGGCAGAATGCGTACAGGTCCACCTCCTTCCTCGTTACTCCCCCCCCCCTCGCCCGAATGTTCCCAAACTGGGCGCGAGACTTGCCTGGATCGGCGGCGAGCGAGGCGGGGAAACGAAAAGAGGAAGACCTTCTCAGAAGGCGGCGGGGCTTCTCAGAAACCTTCGCGCAGGCCTTCTCAGAATGGGAGGCCTGGAAGTGGGCACCAACACCAATGCAGGGTGTTGTCTCCACAGGGGGAAGATGATCCTGGAATTCGGTGTTGGTGGTAATATTTCGGCCACCTTGGAAGCCAGAATGTTACCACCATCACCGAGATCGGGATGTTCTTCCCTCGGTGGAGGCACACCGCCGAACCTCTAGGCCTGCGACAGAAGGCGGCGGGGCTTCTCAGAAGCCTTCGCGCATTCTGAGAAGCTCGCTGCGTCTTCGAGGAGGGCCTCGACGACTTCTCAGAAGGCCGGGGGGCTTCCGAGCCTTCCAAAAAGACCCGCCCCTTCTCAGTTCCCCCCCAGGCTCGCCACCGACTGGGGAAGGTCCGCCCGTGCCCCTCCTGTGTCCCTCGCCGCGCCCCTCGCCTGCACTCCACTTCGCGCCGCCGAGGCTCCAGCCAGGAAGCTCACTCCAGGCGCTGCCCGTCCGCTCCAGGCGCACGTCGCCATGCTGGCGCCGTTGGCTGGCAGCCAACTCCGAGCGTATTGACTCGTTCGCGCGGCCCGGGTTGCCAAGCTTGGGGTCGGGATCTGCCGACCCGGGTCAATCCAAACCCGGGTCAGTCAGGCCATGAAGGATCCTGGAAAATCCTGCAGGATCCTGCAGGATCCTGCACCCAAGCCTGGTTCGGCACACCCCTGGCGCTGCAGGATCCTGCAAGGACCGGCGCTCTGACTGACCCCCGTTTGCATTGACCCCAGTCTCTCAAGGCCCTCAGCGGGACGCTCACTCCAAGCGTGCCGGCTCCCTTCCGTGGCGGGCGACCCTGCGGTCGCGGAGGGTCGTGGGCGTCCCTTTCGCTGTGCGCCGAAGAAGCACACTGGCCTGCCATCCTCCTCGTCCTCCTCACTCCCCTCGCCGAGCTCTGTCGTGGCCCCGCGGCGAAAGAAACGACAGGCCGCCAACAACAGTCAAGAGGGTGGTGCAACGCGGGCATGAGGCTGACTGCCCGTGCTCGATTGGGTTCCTTCTGGCCCTCAATTGCGAGGGAAAGGGGGGAGAGGAGGAAGAGGAGGGGGAAGGGGAAGGTGGATGACCGAGGAAAGAGGAAAGAGGAACGAGGGAACGAAGAGAGGAAGGCACAGGGGGATGAGGGGGGAAAAAGGAAGAGGAGCTAGGCGGATCTGTATCGCTGCCCTCCTCAGGGCCTGCACGCCCCTCGCCCGCGCGTGCTCCAGCTCCTGCACGTCGTCGTCGACGAGCAGCACCTGGGCCAGAGAGGGGTTTTCTCGCGAGGGGTGCTGGCACGAGCGGGCCGTGCGCAGGGAGAGCATACAACATTGGCGCAGAACGAACATTCTCGGCGAGCAGAGCAGCCGAAGGGGGCGCAGGTCGCCACCAGGCAAGACTCCCCCCGTGTTCCTCCCCCTCCTCGCTCCCGTCCTCCATCCCTCCCCCTTCCCCTCCCCCTCCTCACCCTCTTCCTTCGCCTTTTCATCCTCCTCCTTCCTGTTTCATACTATTGCTCGTAGTACAAATACGATTCGTTTCTTCTGACTCTTACTATTAGTAGTACTAGAGTTAATAGCATTGCTACTATTCGTATGAAACCAATCGTAGTCGTAGTAGTAGTAGTAGTAGTAGTAGTAGTAGTAGTAGTAGTAGTAGTAGTAATAGTAGTAGTAGTAGTAGTAATAGTAGTAGTCGTAGTAGTAGTAGTCGTAGTAGTCGTAGTAGTCGTAGTAGTAGTCGTAGTAGTAGTCGTAGTAGTCGTAGTAGTCGTAGTAGTCGTAGTAGTCGTAGTAGTAGTCGTAGTAGTAGTAGTAGTAGTAGTGGTAGTGGTAGTGGTAATAGTAGTAGTAGTTGTTGTTATTGTAATAGCAGTAGTAGTCGTAGTAGTAGTAGTAACAATAATACGAATAGTAGTAGTAGTAGCAGCGGTGGTAGTAATAGTAGTAGTAGTAGTAGTAGTAGTGGTAGTAGTAGTAGTAGGAGTAATAGTAGTAGTAGTAGTAGTAGTAGTAGTAGTAGCAGTAGGTGAAGTAGTAGTATTGGTAGTAGTAGTAGTAGTACTGTTGGTAGTAGTAGTAGTAGTAGTAGTAGTAGTAGTAGTAGTAGTAGTAGTAGTAGTGATAGTACGAGTAGCAGTAGCAGTAGCAGTAGTAGCAGTAGTAGTAGTAGTAGTAGTAGTAGCAGTAGCAGTAGCAGTAGCAGTAGCCGTCGCAGTCGCAGTAGCAGTAGCAGGAGCAGGAGCAGTAACAGTAGCAGTAGCAGTAGCAGTAGCAGTAGCAGTAGCAGTAGCAGTAAGTAGTAGAGTAGTAGTAGTAGTAGTAGTAGTAGTAGTAGTAGTAGGTAGTGGGAGTGGTAGTAGTAGTGGTAGTGGTAGTAGTAGTAGTAGTATAATAAAAAAGTAGTAGCAGTAGTAGTAGTAGTAGTAGTAGTAGTAGTAGTAGTAGCAGTAGTAGTAGTAGTAGTAGCAGTAGTAGTAGTAGTAGTAGTAGTAGTAGCAGTAGTAGTAGTAGTAGTAGTAGAAGCAGTAGCAGTAGCAGTAACGGTTGCAGTAGCGGTAGCAATGGTACTAGTAGTGGTTGTAGTAGAACTAGCAGTAGTCGTCGTCGTCGTCACCGTCGTTGCCGTCGCAATACTAATCTATATTCCTCTCTCTCTCCTCCTCCTCCTCCTCCTCCTTCCTCCTCCTCCTCCTCCTCGCCCTCCTCCTCCCCATCCTCCTCCACATCCTCCTCCTTCTCCTTCCTCTTCCTCCTCCTCCTCCTCCTCGTCCTCCTCCTCCTCATCGCCGTCCTCCTCCTCCTCCTCCTCCTCCTCCTCCTCCTCTTTCGCCTCCTTTTCCTCCTCCTCCGCCTCCCCCTCCTCCTCCTCATCATCCGTCCTCCGTCCTCCTCCATATTCTTCTCCTCCTCATCATCCTCCTTTTCCTCCCCTTCCTCCTCCTCCATTCCTTTTCCTTCTAAAAAACGCTTCCCTGTCGTACCCCGAGGAAAGTTGATAGGGCGGGCTGGGCGTTTCGCATGAGATTTCCTCGCCACTTATGATTTTGAAGCTTGAAGATTAGCAACGGCTTCGCAGATGGAGGGCGGGTCGTCTTCAAATGTGGCTCTCGCCTCAGCGCCGCGCACATTCGTCTTAAACTGTGCAGAAACTTCACCGATTGAAGGCTAAGCATTTTCCACATACCAGCTCGCTCTCCCCCAAGGGTCATGCACGCGCCAAACTTTGGGCGACGCACGACGGCGCCGCCAACGCCGCCGCCGCCAGGCGCGCGCGGGCCAGCGGGTCGCGCGTTCGACCGCGCTCGGCCCCACGCACTGCGCCCCGTGCGGCGGCGCTGTGCAAGCGAGACCCTGCTGGGCACGGCGGGAGAAACAACGACACCGCCCACCGCCAGGGTCCATCTCCTGGGCGGCGGCGGCCGCTGAGAACCACTCCCGCGCGCGAAGCCCCTTGGCGGGGGGCCTGAGCCGCTCTCCCGCAGCGCAGCCATGACGCGCGGCGCCGCGCTGCGCCGCGCTGCGCCGCGCCGGCGCCCGCGCAACAACGCCCCCCCCCGCTTGTGTCCTGCAACAACGGAAGCGCCGCGTCGTCGACACAAACCACCTAGCTCCCCCCCAGGGGTCATGCACGCGCCAAACTCTGCGCGAAACATGACGGCGCCGCCAACGCCGCCGCCGCCAGGCGCGCGTGGGCCAGCGGGTCGCGCGCTCGGCCCCAATGCTCGCGCGACTCGTGGGCCCGCGCGGCGGCGGGCGCATCTCGCGGCCCCGATCGCGCCACCCAACGCTCCGCGAAAGGCGCGGCGCTTGCGCGGGCACGGCGCGCGCGCCCCTCGCCGCACCTGGGCGGCATCACCTTGTCCGCTGCCACCCGGGGCAGACCCGACCGCTCCGTGGGCGGCGTCGCGCACGAGGCACTGTCGGTCGACCCCCGGCAGAAAGACCAGCTGTCATAGGAGCAGTGGTCGCGGGGGCCCAATGCCAGCAGTTCGCGGCGCAGCGCGCGCATGCTCACGTCTGGCCTAGTGCCCGCGCACGGGCCTGCCCAAATCTCGGCGGCTTCGAACATGGGCCATACCGCGTGGAGCGCGCACGTCCGAGGGAACCTGTCGCGCCAGCATATCCGCTCGGATATCGAAGCGCACTCTTTATTCTTGCGCCGAGGGAAGAACAACACAACAGAGCAACCGTCTTTGCGCAACGCGATCCTGGTCGGTTCCGGCGCCGGGCCCCTGACCAGGCCCAGCCCCTCGGAGGGGGGCCGCAGTCCGAAAGTGAAGCAGACGGCCCAGAGCCCCGGCAAGTCCACCGGGGCTTGACCCCTTTCCAGCAGGGCGCGCATCGTCTCCAGGGATGCGCGCGAGCGCGGCTCGTAGATGCCCGGGCAATGCTTAGACACCACGACCTTTGCCATGGCCAGGAAGAGAAAATTGAACTCAGACGCGTTCAGGCCTAGCACGACGCAGGCCTTCGCAAGGAACCCGACGCAAGTAGCGAGCGCGCGCCGGCTGCGAAAGATCCGAGCATAAGCGCAAAGTGACTCCGCAGTCGGCAGGAACTCGTCTCCCCGCCGACCCAATGACTTCTGCGAAAACTCCCGCCACCGACGGATTCCCGAACGCCATGCGTTCAGCGATCGAGGAGCGCCCCCGCACACAGCCAATATTACCGACTCGTCGATGAAGCCGTCTCCTTGAAACCGATTGCGGGAAACCTCGCGCGCGGCGACCGCCTCGCCCTTAGCCGCGCGCGGGTGGGGGGAAGGGCGGTTCTGTGCGCGAGCCATTGCTCCAGCCTGCCTGAAAAACCAGGCGAGCTGCGTAGACGCCGGCACCTCGTCGGATGGGACGCAGCGCCCGACCCCCCCGTCGCGGGCCGCGGGCCGCGCCACGTCGGACGAGGACGAGAACGACGAACTGCCCGAGGCCCGAGCCCAGGCGGGCGCGAGAGCGGCGTGCCCTGCCCCGCGCGCGCGCGGAACCTTGCTTCCCGACGCGCCACAATGCCCGCTGGATGCCGCTCGTCGCTTGTCAAAGCGCTGCCCACGAGCGAACCGCTGGCGCTAGAGCCTGGGCCAAGTGGGGGGAGGTGAGTCGCGCGCCCTGCTGGTGCCCCATCGAAAACAGCCGGCAGCGCCCCGCGCTCGTCGTCCTCTGCGAGCGGGTCTTGAAACTCATGGCCGCCCAGGAACGAGCGTCGTTCGAGCGCGACCAGCTCGCGGACCGAGTCAATTCCATTGCGTCGCAGACCTTCCAACAACCTGAATAGCTTGCACGGCGGATATTCGGGGCGCGCCGCCCTGGCCCGCGACGGCAGGCCGGACAGGCCCGCCCCCTGGCGAACGCGCAGAGGCGCGGCCGCGCACGCTCCCCTCCGCGCCCGGGACGCGCAGTTGGACCGCCGCGGGGGCGCCGTCCTGCGTCGCCGCTAGCGAGGACGAGCGTGAAAGAGCACCACGGGAAACGCGGGTGGCGCGCGCGCGGACACACCTTCGCGGACTCCATGCGCGGCGGAGAGGCCCGCGCCGCACGCCGTTGCCCCCGCGCCGCGCAGCGAAGCAGGCGCGCCCGACGGGGACGGCGCGCGCGCGCAAGAAGAGCGCATGCAAGAAGGGCGGCCTGAGGTCATGGCCTCCGAGAGGTGGCCCCCCACGGAAGCGACCATTCCCATGTCCATGCCGCCGTTGTCAAAACGTCGGTCGCCATCGCCCGCAGCCTCTCGCGGGCCTCCACTGGCCGCGCCGCCGCGTCGGCCGCGTTGTGTTTTGACGGAGCGCGCCGGAAGCTGACCGCGCAATCGAGGGCGGCTGCTGCCAACCATGCACCTGTCACCTGATCGCACGACGCGGCGCCGCGCGACCGCGCGCGCGCCGCGAATGGACGGCGCGCCAGCTCGCCATAGTCATTTTCGCACGACGAGCCCTGGCGCAGGATTCCAAGCGCGGCGGTGCCGTCGACGAAAACGACAACCTCCGCGCCCGGGCAGGAGCGGAACACGCGGTACAGCCCCGCGAGCGCCGCAACTGGCTCGAACGCTGCCACCTGCGCCCTCCGAGAGTTCAGCCATCGCTCGGCCCCGCCTGGAGCCGCGGCGGAGGCGAACTCCTTACCCGCCGGGGGCGCCGTCGCCCATGCAAAACCACCCGGCCCGTCGCACCCGCGCATGGCAAGACCCGCCGGCGGTCGCGCCGCGCGCGCAGGGGCGCGAGCGGGGGCCTGGCCTCCACGAAGCGCGGCCACCAGGCCAGCGATCGGCGT